TTTAACAAATGGAGGGAAAAACGGAGAGCAATGACAATAAATGAAGAAGTCATGTTATCGTATTTTTTAAATTTGAAGAAAATACAGGGTGGCCAAATGAAAACGAAACAGAGCCATTGTCAGGAACTGCGTTGTAGTCCATCTAGACTGGCTTATAGAGCGACTTTGGTGAAAACACTTAGGAGCCTGATTTGGAGCCCAGCGCTCAGTCGTGTCCTAGCATTTGACGTGTATGCATCGCTGTGATTTCGATAATTAGACGTTTCATCGTGGGCAAGTGTATTGTAAAACATTGTATAAATAGAAGTGATCGAGTTGGTGAAGAGAGGCGAAAAGTTTCCTTCTTTAGGTAAGTAAAAAGAGGAATATATAAAAGGTAAATATGTACGCCATTTTTCGGTTGACGTCACAAGTTTCCAGGGTTAGCTTTATAATTTTGTTCGCCCACATAGTGTAGTGATTAACGTGATATTGTTATTATAAAATAATGAATGAGTTACTGTAAAATATTTTTACTAATTATTTACTTTATGCGAGTCTCAAGTTTTTATGAAATTTTACCAATTCCCGTCATTTCGAGATTAATGCAAATTAATTAAATATTTTTTTCAATTGAAAAAATCGCAAACAAAACCAATTTCAGATTCATGTTCAGCACCTTGGAAAAGGAGAGTTGGTAAAATGTGATTAGAAAAATCAGAGAGTTTCGTGACAAAAAAAAATAATTAAGTACGCTTCGAATTTTCAAACCTAATATTTAAATTTTTACAGATTTCCAAGGAATGTTGACATAAAACGAAGATGGGTGAACGCTATTAAAAAACAGGACTGGACACTAGCAAGTACATTATAGTATATATTGTCGGTTTCGTAATAATAATAATAACAAGTTCTATAATAAAGCCAATAAAATGTGAAGACTGTGTAAATAGTTTAATGTCAAATACACAGTATTCGTACAGTCAATTAATTTTTATTGAAGATCGTGGTTGTTTGACGTATCCATCTCGAGATGTCGTAGTAATGTCAAGAAACAAAAAAATGTATAAAATTTTTTAATGATGAAACAGAACACCTAGGCTACAGAAAAATAAAATTGTTTATCTACTCCTATTAATTTATATATTAATTATTCAACTGCTTTTGAGCAATTAATAGTATCAATAAACAAGTAGCGTGAGTTTTTATAGTGAGTTATTATAACTCACGCTGGGCTTCTACAATGATAATTCGGTATGTAAATAGTGTACGCAGTAAATTCTTGGAAATTTTTAAGCCGATAAATACGTTCCATTGGTGTAAAATGGAAAGAATTTTTAACAAGTGGAAAGGAATGAATAATTAAAAGATTTTAAAATTATTAAATTGCCAACGCCTCTCAGTAGGCGGAACTGTCAATTATTATCATTGAGGGGACTAATGTC